TCAATTTGGCACATGGAAATGTGATAAACTAATAGCAATGCATTTACAGTCCACAACACAATAACAACTACAATTACATAGTTATAGGTGTCTTGAAGCCAACACTTGAGTGATATATTACTAATAGATAGGAATGTCAGGTCTCAAAAAAGAAGAAAAAAGATAAATAAAATGACCCACAACAGTCCCAGCCTCCCTGGATACCAGATTCTGCAGATAAAATTTTTGCAAGCCAATGCCTCTGCTAGACACAAAAGAACAAGTAAGAGCAATGGAGAGTTAGGCTGTGCTCTTGGTCGCTATTTGGTGTCTAAATGGATTCACTAAACAGCTGCAGTTTGGGGCCTTACAACAGGATCAGAGTACTGTACTTGCATAAACCCTACATATGCTAGATTATCATTAATAATAATAAAAATATAATCATATCACATAAATATCTAATACAATCTGCCTTTCAACTTTAATGGAACATCCTATAATTTTTTCTGCAAAACCAACTAACTTGAGCAAATTGCTTTTCATTCGGAAAAAAAATATCTTCACCTTAAATACTGATGGACGGAGCATCTAAACAGCTTACAGCCTCTTCCTCACAGAAAAGATGTTTTACTAAAGCACCTATGTGTTTATTCAGCACCATATTGTGGAATGATAAAAGTCTTGTACTGTTCCTTCACAACTGTGAACAGATCCATCACTGGGTCTGGTTAAGTGACTTAAAATACTCCAGCTAAGAATAATAAGCTTTAAAAGTAAAATTCTGTTAAATAAACTTGAATTACTTGGATAGAAATAATTACATGTTGAACTTCAGTCCAATTTTCTCTACAAGTGTAAAAAAGAGATGACTATTGTACTGAAAGCAGCAAAACAATCAATCTCCCTAAGTGATATTTCTCCTTCATGAGAGGACAATAAATTCATCATGCACAGCATGTTCAGATCCTCCTTTGATATATATTGTCATTCCATCAACAATTAATGATGATAAAACCTAGACAACTGACTAAAAAGCCATAAAAATTACACTGAATCATGGCTGTTTGTCTAAATCCTCAACAATTGTTTATTACCTGTAAGTACCAGTGATAAATTCACCAATTACTTTCCAGTTTTCAGGAATAAGAAATCCACTTTAAAAGACGCAGAGTAAAATTTTGAGGATATCTACATGGAGAAATTTAAATTTAAAATGAGAAAGAAAACAAATTCTTCCTTTTCTAAAAGATAAAAGCCTACTTAAACATAACCAGTTTGTGTTGTTTTTCTTTCCTTTGAACAGATCTACTGCAGAACTGAGACGATCTTCTGTGCAAGGGAGGGGGCGGCCTTCAGTTCTGGTGGTGATGGTCAATGTATGTCGGCAAATCGTGAGCTTCCTCGAAGAAGTCAGGCTCATCATCATCGTTGTTTGCTGTGGCTGTGGCCTCAGTTCCGTCAAGCTGGAGGCAATGGGCAAGGTTAAAAACATTTATGGGGAGATTATAAAAAAAACTAAACAATCATTACTCCTAATCCTTGTGTTCAGAATAATATATCATGTAAAAATCAAGAAAGCAACAAAGTAAGAAGGGCTAAGGGCCTCTTATCTTATCAATACATATATATTCTGTCTTTTTTGTAAACTTTAGTCTTCTAATAGGTGTATGATTTATCAACTAACTTTAAAAAACATTTGAGCAATTACATCTGGTTAACATTTTTTACCAAGAAAAATTTTGCAGATCAAATGTAAATAAGAAAACAAAAACAATATATGAAACTTACTGCATTGAGCTCAACTCCACTGAATGCATAGGGAAGAAGGTACAATCTAATGGGAATGAGGCACATGAGCACGAATGGGAAGCAGAGAGCAGCAGGAGACTGCTTTACAATCCATAGGATTACCAACATAAGGAGCTGGATGCCGGTGTAAGCATGCATCTTCCATGTGCGCACCTGAAAAGGTATCAAGATATTTATGATCCACATTCATTTGAAAAAAAAAGGGGAAAAATCAATTAATATATACATTTCAAAAATGAGCAATAAACAATAGAACACAACATCAAAGTATGGGATGAAGTCTTTATAACAAAAAAGCAAGGCTCTTCTGCAAATACTCACTTTCTTCACATAAGCTACATTAGGATGGTGCTTGACTGGCATGAGGAAAAGAATTGTGCGCTCGAGGAACTGAATACCAGCTGTGGCAGAGATACCCATGTACAGGAAGATACCTAGCAGCACAGACTTTGGTACAAGGTTAAGAGCTGCTGTCAGGAACACTGACAGTCCCACCAAGACTGACACAATGACTGCACTAACTCGCTGCTCTGTAAAGGCAAAGAACAAATTCTTATTTTCTACAATTTACCCTTTAATAAGTCAAACTGATAGTATATTTTAAGTAATATTATATATGCAACTCATGAAATAAAAGTACTTCACTATCCAACTATATGACAATCATGAAAAAGGAAAAGAAAAAAGAAAATAGATCTTACCAAGAACGCCCACAATCTTAGGAGACTCTCCAGGGGCATGGGTTGAGCTCATGACGGTCAGAGCAGAGGTGTGGGACACAGTTCTCACGCAGGCCGGGCCCATGAAGGGAGCACCAAAGAGCCCAGACACAAAATTGATGAAACCGGAGAGGATCAGATCCCAATGGAAACCTGTTCCCTTTACCATGTTCTTCTCAGGCTTGCTCAAGATAAGGCTAGAGGTGAAGAAAGAGTAAAAAATATGATCAGGTTTTGTGGAAGATATGCTGACCTTTTATTGTCTATATGGAATGAGCAAACACACATTTTACGTTTGTTTCAAAGGATTGTGGCTTATAAAAGACTGTTTTGCTTATTTTGTATGCTGGTTTTGTAATAAAGATCTAATATCTACTTTTCTATTTGAGTGCATTATTAATAAATCATAACTAGACAAATATATGATCATGGCCTATCCTTTGTCAATATATTTATTGTCTAAATATATTTGCCAGATTGTAAGATACAAAAGAAAGTCTCTATGTCCCCCTTCCTTTCACACCAGCAACTCCAATCCCCCCTCCCCTCTCTACTCTCCCCACCATCACCAATTTTCCTTGCAAACCTCCTGCAGACTTACTGGCAGATGTTCTCTTCCAGGAATACGAGGCAGAAGAGGAGGAGGGAAGCAGGAGCAGCAAGGAAGATGACCCAGATGGGCAGTGCCTTGGTGACACCCATGGGGTTGATCATCCATCCTCTGATTTCTGGGTTGGATGGGCTGAGACCTTCGGGCATGGTGAGCTTGTCGGTGTAGGTGTCATGGATGAGGTAGTCCAGGGTGACCATGAGGACAATGGAGATGGGCACACCAAAGTCACCAAGAGCACGACGTACCTGGAAAGTGAAGAGAGCAAATGCATGAATAAGTTTATGCAGTGGTAAATCAACAGAAGCTGATGCAAGTAAAAAGTATTTTTAACCAATAAAAATACTGAAGATGAACACAACAAACAGTTCATACTAACATAGCAATAGTCATTGTGATGTATCACATAGAGAACCTAACAAATGAAGCCAAGACAAAGGCACTCACACTTCTGCCGAGGAACTTGGAGTTACGGAAATGTTTGAGCTTGAAGGCAATGAGGAAGGTGCTGATCATCAGAATCATGGAGAGGAGAGCAGTGTTGGGCTGAGCTGGTTCGATGGCTGTCACGTCCTCGTCTTCCATGTTGGTTGCGTTATAGAGGGATCCATTGATGATGATGCCAGATGCACTGCAAGAGGAAGAGGCTGGTGAGTTGAGAGCATTCAAGGGGCCACATGGCCTTTAATATTCTTATACTATATAGTGGTGAGAAATAGAAATGAGGGAGGAGGGAGGGAGGGAGGGAGGGAGGGAGGGAGGGAGGGAGGGAGGGAGGAGAGGGAGGGAGGGAGGGAGGGAGGGAGGGGAGGGAGGGAGGGGAGGGGAGGGGAGGGAGGGAGGGGAGGGAGGGGAGGGAGGGGAGGGGAGGGGAGGAGGGAGGAAGGAAGGAAGGGAGGGAGAGGAGGGGAGGGGGGAGGGAGAGAGTGAGTGAGATGGGGAGAGAAAGAGAGAGATAGGAGGAGAGAGTGGGAGAGAAGAGAGATAGAAGGAGAGAGTGGGGGAGGGGGAAAGAAAGAGAAAGAGATGGACAGCAATTGAGATAAATATATAGACAGACGGATAGATATACAGCTAGTTGAATAGAGAGAGAGAAAAAAGAAAGAAAGAGAAGAGCGAGAGAGAGGCCCAACGCCGTCGACTTACATTTCCGAGCCGTTGATGTCCTTGAAGCCATACTTGGACTGCAGCGGGTGATGGACGAAGATCTCGGCCAGCTTCTCGAAGGCGCCGTAGATGAAAATGAGGCACACCAGCGTCGAAAAGATCTCCTCGGTGAAGCGGGTGAACTTCTTGACGATGGCCACGGCCTCGAAGGCGGTGACAAGGACGGCGGTCACTGTCATCCATATTCCCACCCACACTCGCGTGGCCAGGAAGTCGATCTCATACGACTGGCAGAACTGGGCGGGGGAGGCGGATACAAGTGAGTATGAAGAAAGGAATGGGGAGATGTGTCAACGGAAGTAAAATGCAATTTAAAAATATATATATAATTTTGAAAAGGAACGAAGGAAAAAATCGTATATATTTAGAAATACTGCCATATGTTGCCGTAAAATTCTTACTAAGATCATAAATTCCGAATACGAGATATTTCTTGGGAAGGAAACATTTACAATCAGAAAATGGCCCCGAGACGATGAATCCTATTCATGAATCTCCTGAAAGATAAAACTCCTCCTCTTACGAGTACAGACTCATGTCGAAGATCATGAGCGGGCCCGTGGCGCCACGATGAGCAGCGGCTGGGCGGCGAACAGGGCGAAGATGATGCCGTTGACGGAGGACATGAGCAGCGTCTCGCCCACGCCGATGTAGTTGTTCATACGGTCGCCTGGCGGCGGAAGGGGCGCGGTTAGAGGCCGTTCGGTGAGGGGAAGGGAAGAAGGAAGGGAAGAAGGAAGGGAAGAAGGAAGGGAGGAAGGAAGGATAAAGAGGAACTCGGAGAGAGAAGGAAGAGCAGCACGAATGCAATCAAAATTAAAACTACAGCTCCACACAACCGACCAACGACAACATAAAACTTGATTAGCTGAGATATTTAGGTTTAATTTTGGATACGAGTTTTCAAAAAGAGAGCAAAACCAATCACACAGCCAGAATGGACAGCCAAGGGCGCGCGCCGACTCACCGTAGATGCCGCCGAAGGTGATGGCGGCGGAGAGCGCGGAAGAAGATGAAGATGGCGGCCGCCAGCACCTGCCCGCTGAGGCCGTCCTTGATGTCGGACAGGTAGAGCGGGTAGCGGTCTTGAGGTCCTGCAGGACGCCGAAGAAGGGCTTCCCGGTGCGGATGAGAGGATCCCTCGGAGGAGGCCTCTTCTTCCGCCGTCGCCATCGCCTGCGGAGGCCGGGTCACGGCCGCTGGGAGGGAGGCGTGTCAGTGGGCGACCAGGGTGTGGGCGGGGTGGAGGGAGCGAATTGCCGCAGAGCGAGAAATGCAGCTGCGTTACTCTCAGATGATAAGGGATATGAACATATATACTCACTGAATCAGTAGGTTTATAGTTATGCCGCAAAGGAGGGGTAAGACAAATGCACGCGAGCCTAAGCCAGCCCCGTGAGGCCCCAAGGAAGGAAGCCGGGGTGGCGCCTTACCGGTCTCCGTCTGCTTGCGCTTGGAGCGGAGGCTCTCCTTCTTCTTCATGATCTGGTTGGCCTTGGCGCGGATGTCGTCGATGGGCACCAGGTCCTTGTTGTTCCAGTCGGAGGGCGGCAGCACGATGGAGGCGTTCAGGAACTCGTTGATGGCCGAGAGCAGCTGGCCGCGCGAGTGGGCGCGGTAGGCCACCTCGTGGAAGCCCTTGTCGGACATGAGGGTGGAGATGGAGCGCCCACCTCGTGGTAGTCCATCTCGCCGTGGAAGGGGCCCAGCAGCACGAACATGAAGCGCACGGGGATGGGCACCTGGGGGAAGGGGGGGGGGGTGTCAGTGGAGAAGGGCGGCGCCCCGAGTGGCGGGGCGAGCGAAGATAATTCAGAATAAGAGCTGTTAAGGATTCTAGAAACTGTTCCCTGCGCTCTTCTTCTCGGACCCCACGAGAGCGAGAGCGCGGGCCTTCTGGACGGGACACGAGACAGGCCGCCAAGATGAAGATAAAGAAAATCTTAAAACAGAGAAGGAAAATGCTCACCTCCACCAGGTTGTCCATCATGACGCCCTCAGCCAGCCTGACGAAGGCGATGGTAGGCTGCTTGAGGAAGTCTACGGCGCCCACCAGCACAGCCGTGGCCTCGGCGCCCTCGGGGATCTTCTTGAGCAAGTCCTTGTTATTCCTGCGCAGGTCATCCTTCGAGCCGCCCTTGTCTTTCGGCTGGGCCTCGCCCTCGATGTCGATCTGCAACGAACGGAAAGGATGTGAACCTCTGACAGGCGGCTGCGACCGGAGCTGCGTCAGGAACCCGGCGGGAGAGACGGGGGTGGGGGTGGGGGGGGCGGAGGCGGCGGGAAGGTCTGCCGAGCGCGCAAACGAGGCGAATGTCGACCTAAGTAACTGCGCGAGACGACGAAAGAGCACAGAAACCGTGGTGAACCGTAGCTCCCATTGCTAGTCTTTATCTTGAGAATCAAACAAACAAATCCAAACCGGCAACCAAAAAATCCTGAGAGAGAGAGAGAGAGAGAGAGAGAGAGAGAGAGAGAGAGAGAGAGAGAGAGAGAGAAGAGAGAGAGAGAGAGAAGAGAGAGAGAGAGAGAGAGTATATGTGCTCTTCCTTTACCTCTAATTCTTCCACCACAAAGACCACCATCAAGGGCAGAACCTGGAACTGAATTGATTCCCCGGGAGAAATAAAGAGCGAGGAAGTGCGTGTAGTGAGAGGCTGAGAGCGAGGAAGTGCGTGTGTGAGAGGCTGAGAGTGAGGAAGTGCGTGTAGTGAGAGGCTGAGAGTGAGGAAGTGCGTGTGTGAGGCGCCGAGTGCGAGGAAGTGCGTGAGTGAGAGGCTGAGAGCGAAGGAGTGCGTGTGTGAGGCGCCGAGAGCGAGGAAGTGCGTGTAGTGAGAGGCTGAGAGTGAGGAAGTGCGTATGTGAGAGGCTGGGAGTGAGGAAGTGCGTATGTGAGAGGCTGAGAGTGAGGAAGTGCGTGTAGTGAGAGGCTGAGAGTGAGGATTGCGTGTGTGAGGCGCCGAGAGTGAGGATGTGCGTGTGTGAGGCGCCGAGAGTGAGCAAGTGCTTGTAGTGAGAGGCTGAGAGTGAGCAAGTGCGTGTGTGAGAGGCTGAGAGTGAGCAAGTGCTTGTAGTGAGAGGCTGAGAGTGAGCAAGTGCTTGTAGTGAGAGGCTGAGAGTGAGCAAGTGCTTGTAGTGAGAGGCTGAGAGTGAGCAAGTGCTTGTAGTGAGAGGCTGAGAGTGAGGAAGTGCGTGTGTGAGAGGCTGAGAGTGAGGAAGTGCGTGTGTGAGAGGCTGAGAGTGAGGAAGTGCGTGTGTGAGAGGCCTGAGAGTGAGGAAGTGCGTGTAGTGAGAGGCTGAGAGTGAGGAAGTGCGTGTGTGAGAGGCTGAGAGTGAGGGAGTGCGTGTGTGAGAGGCTGAGAGTGAGAAAGTGCGTGTAGTGAGAGGCTGAGAGTGAGGAAGTGCGTGTGTGAGAGGCTGAGAGTGAGGAGTGCGTGTGTGAGAGGCTGAGAGTGAGGGAGTGCGTGTGTGAGAGGCTGAGAGTGAGGAAGTGCGTGTAGTGAGAGGCTGAGAGTGAGGAAGTGCGTGTGTGAGAGGCTGAGAGTGAGGAGTGCGTGTGTGAGAGGCTGAGAGTGAGGGAGTGCGTGTGTGAGAGGCTGAGAGTGAGGGAGTGCGTGTGTGAGAGGCTGAGAGTGAGGAAGTGCGTGTAGTGAGAGGCTGAGAGTGAGGAAGTGCGTGTGTGAGAGGCTGAGAGCGAGGGAGTGCGTGTGTGAGAGGCTGAGAGCGAGGAAGTGCGTGTAGTGAGAGGCTGAGAGTGAGGAAGTGCGTGTTGTGTGAGAGGCTGAGAGTGAGGAAGTGCGTGTGTGAGAGGCTGAGAGTGAGCAAGTGCGTGTAGTGAGAGGCTGAGAGTGAGCAAGTGCGTGTGTGAGAGGCTGAGAGTGAGGAAGTGCGTGTGTGAGAGGCTGAGAGTGAGGAAGTGCGTATGTGAGAGGCTGAGAGCGAGGAAGTGCGTATGTGAGAGGCTGAGAGTGAGCAAGTGCGTGTGTGAGAGGCTGAGAGTGAGCAAGTGCGTGTGTGAGAAGCTGAGAGTGAGGAAGTGCGTGTAGTGAGAGGCTGAGAGTGAGGAAGTGCGTGTAGTGAGAGGCTGAGAGTGAGGAAGTGCGTGTGTGAGAGGCTGAGAGTGAGCAAGTGCGTGTAGTGAGAGGCTGAGAGTGAGCAAGTGCGTGTAGTGAGAGGCTGAGAGTGAGGAAGTGCGTGTAGTGAGAGGCTGAGAGTGAGGAAGTGCGTGTAGTGAGAGGCTGAGAGTGAGCAAGTGCGTGTAGTGAGAGGCTGAGAGTGAGGAGTGCGTGTAGTGAGAGGCTGAGAGTGAGGAAGTGCGTGTGTGAGAGGCTGAGAGCGAGGAAAGTTGCGTGTGTGAGAGGCTGAGTGCGTGAGATCAAGAGAAATAGCACACATCCCGGGCAGGAGTTGCACTTTCAAACTGCCCGTCTTATACAACACAACACAACCTTGAGTCAACTACCCGAGATTAGCGATCTTTCGTGCTCTCTCTCTCTGTATGTACTTGTATGTATGCATGTATGTGTGCGTATGTGTGTTTGTGTGTGTATACATGGTATGTTAGCGTATGTTGTGTTTGTGTGTGTATACATGTATGTTAGCGTATGTGTGTTTTGTGTTGTAATCATGTATGTGTGCGTATGTTGTGTTTATGTGTGTATACATGTATGTGTGCGTATGTGTGTTTATGTGTGTATACATGTATGTGTGCGTATGTGTGTTGTGTGTGTATACATGTATGTGTGCGTATGTGTGTTTTGTGTGTATACAGTATGTGTGCGTATGTGTTTATGTGTGTATACATATGTGTATGTATGTGTGTGTGTGTGTGTGTACGTGTGTGTGTGTGTGTGTGTACGTGTGTGTGTGTGTGTGTGTACGTGTGTGTGTGTGTGTGTGTACGTGTGTGTGTGTGTGTGTGTACGTGTGTGTGTGTGTACGTGTGTGTACGTGTGTTTTGTACCTGTGTTTGTACGTGTGAGTGTCTTCCTATCTCTATGCACTTGTCTAAACAGAACACCATTCATTCATAAACGTTCTTCTTCTCCATCTTTCTGTGTTCACCTAAATACAGAAAACCTTTATTTCCAATCCACTCATCCTCTCTTCATATCCCTCTGTCCATTCCTTCCCTACGCAAAACATCA